GCTCGTGGCTCGTGATGAAGCCACTCGAAAGTCTCACGAAGACCCGACTCTCGCGCTCATCGCCACTCCACTCACACATGACCGCCACCGCGGACCGCCTCTTGGATCACGGCCTTCGGGAAGCTCTGGGGTGCCCTGCGCCTCCCTCTCCTGGATCGCCAGCGGGCAAATACCCCTGCCCACCGGGTGGCCAGAGCTCTGTCACCCGAGTCTACCCTGATTCCAGGCCTGATTTCCGTGGATCGGCGCGTGGCGCCAATGGGCGGCTCCGCTGGTAGCTCTGGTTCCACGGCCTCGCCCACCCAGTCCGGGCCGGACCTGGACGGGTGTCCGCAGCGGTGGTCGTCCGTCCGCTCGTTCTTCCGACCCGCTCCTTCCGCCCTTCCCTTTCCCTCCTGGCCGTACAAGTGCTCACCGCTTTCCAAGCCTCCCCAGCCCAACCCGAAGGTCCCAAATGCCCCCGACTTTCGGGATGGGGGATGCACGCGTTCAGGGTGCTTTCTCGATGTTCCAGAACCTCCCCCCTGCTGGAAATTGACAGGCCTGGCTGTGAAACACCGAGACGTGCCAGAGTGGAGGGCGCCGAGGAGCCATCGCGCCACCCTTCTTGGGACGGCGTCTGGGAACGATGGGAGCGCGTCGTTCGCTCGTTCGTTCCCCCGTCCTCCTCTCTAGGCCTTCCAGATGGGGTCCGAGTAGATGGGGTCGGAGGATGGCGCCGCATCGCCGATGCATCGGTGATGCCGCTCTATGTGGAGCCCGATTTTCTTCACGCCGACATCGCCGATGCGTCGCCGACGTCGCCGATGCATTGCTGATGCATCGCCGATGCATTGCTGATGCATCGCGGATGCATTGGCGATGCGGCGCGATCCTCCGACCGCACCTACTCGGACCCCATCAAGGAGGCCTCGAGCCTCCCCGCTGAACCGACGCTGCGAAGACACGCACAGTATCGCGGAACATGGGCGTCGAAATCCAAACCCTACCCTCGCCGATCAAGGATTCAGGCAACTCGTCGACGACGTCGACGCCGACCGCGGCGGCGACGACGACGACGACGACCGCGACGACGACGACGACGACGACGACGACGACGACGACGACGACGACGACGACGACGACGACGACGACGACCGCGACGGACGACTGACGACGACGGACGACGGACGACGGACGACGGACGACGGACGACGGACGACGGACGACGACGACGACGACGACGACGACGACGACGACGACGACGACGACAACGACTGCGACGACGACGACCACAGACGATGATGACGACGGGGACGGACGGCGACGACGACGACGAAGACGACGACGACGACCTTCGTCCCTCACTCGGCGCTCCTTGTGGTAGCCTGGACAGCCGGTGCCCGCCCAGGATGAGGAGACCCAGACGCCCGAAGAAGTTTATACGCCGTTTTTCAATATCTGCGGCGCCAGAGATGGTGACTCTCGTGGGCTGCGGCAGGCGTGGCTGTGGACGCGGGCCACAGCACTGCCTTGAGTGGCGACTGGAGGTTGGCTGCCGGTGGAGCGCTTGCGATGGAGCCAGTGTGGTCCGCGGCGCCGTGGGGCACGAAGCGTCGAGCGGCAGCAGCCCGGGCGATGCAGAGCTGACTGCGCACCGAAGCTCCAGGAGAAGCGCAAGACTGAAGAGCCGCCGCGGAGGAGGGCCCTTCCTGCGTGTACGCAGCCGACACGGCGCCGGCCGCGTCGCGAAGCGGCGGGCGGACCGAGAGGCCTCGGGGGCCGGGGCCTCGGGGGCCTCGCGGGGGCGCCCGCGTGCCCTGCCTCGCAAGGTGCCCTGCCGAGGCCTCGCGTGCCTGGGGCCCCATCCCCAGGGGCACTTTTTCGTGCCGCGCGTCCGTTTTTGATGGCCCCAGGGCCCGACGACGGCTGGGGGCCGAGATCGAGGAAGAACGCGGTGCTTGGAGGGAATGATCTCGTCGGAAGTTGGCGGAGGAGGAGGAGGAGGAGGAGGAGGAGGAGGAGGAGGAGGAGGAGGAGGGGGAGGAGGAGGAGGCGGAGGCGGAGGCGGAGGAGGAGGAGGAGGAGGAGGAGGCGGAGGCGGAGGCGGAGGAGGAGGAGGAGGAGGAGGAGGAGGAGGAGGAGGAGGAGGAGGAGGAGGAGGAGGAGGAGGAGGAGGAGGAGAGGAGGCGGGAGGAGGAGGAGGAAGGAGGAGGAGGAGGAGGAGGAGGAGGAGGAGGAGAGGAGGAGGAGGAGGGAGGAGGAGGAGAGGAGGAGGAGGAGAGGAGGAGGGAGGAGGAGGGAGGAGGAGGAGGAGGCGGAGGAGGGAGGAGGAGGAGGAGGAGGCGGAGGAGGAGGAGGAGGAGGAGGAGAGGAGGATGAGGAGGAGGGAGGAGGAGGAGGAGGAGGAGGAGGAGGAGGAGGAGGAAGAGGGAGGAGGAGGAGGAGCAGGAGCAGGAGGAGGAGGAGGAGGAGGAGGAGGAGGAGGCGAGGTGCTAGGTTCCATCGCTCCGCGCCCGAGGGAACGGCTACATGCCGCCCCCCGCGCACTTCGGCTACCCGCCGCCGCACGGGCCGTACGGCTACCCCCCGCCAGGCCGACGCCGCGCGTGGCCGCCTCCGTTGGCTTCCGAAGGCCTTCGGAGGGCCTTCGAGTTCGAGTGCTTTCTGAGGGCCTTCGGAGGGCTTCTGGGGACCGCCGCCGCATCCGCAGTCGAGGTTGAAATCGTCGTCGTCGTCGTCGTCGTCATCGTCCGTCGTCCGTCGTCCGTCGTCTGTCGTCCGTCGTCCGTCGTCTGTGGTCGTCGTCGTCGTCGTCCGCCTCCGCCGCCGCCGCCGTCGACGTCGTCGTCGTCATCTTCGTCGTCGTCTGTGGCTGTCGTCGTCGTCGTTGTCGGTCGTCGTCGTCGTCGTCGTCGTCGTCGTCATCGTCCGTCGTCCGTCGTCCGTCGTCTGTCGTCCGTCGTCCGTCGTCTGTGGTCGTCGTCGTCGTCCGCCTCCGCCGCCGCCGTCGCCGTCGACGTCGTCGTCGTCGTCGTCGTCATCGTCGTCGTCATCTTCGCCGTCGTCTGTGGCTGTCGTCGTCGTCGTCGTCGTCGTCGTTGTCGGTCGTCGTCGTCGTCGTTGCCGTCGTCGTGGTTGGTGTCGTAGTCGTGGTGGAGGTCGTCGTCGCCCGCAGCCTCCTCCCCCCCGATCCGTGCACCCTCCTCCCTCCTCGCTTGTCCCTCCTCCAGTGAGTCTCTGCAGGGTGGCCGCTCACGGAACGGCGTGCTTGCACGCCCTTGAGTGCAGGCTACGTTCGCTCCCTTGTCTGCCGTAAGACCTCGCCTAATGCTGCCCCTTCCTTCATCAGATGCCCTTGCTCCTTTCTTCTCCACACCCTCTCGCCCAAAATGGCCAAGTCACAGTCTCTTAGATATATAAGCAAGAGGTGCAGAAGGAGCTATACGAATTTCCTTGCGGCATGATGCCCTCAGCCTCCCTCATTCTCTTTCTCCCACTGGGGCAAGATTCGGCTGGGTCGAATTGGTTTCGGCAACGCTTCGGGCATGAGTCTAAGAGACGGTTGCTGGCCGATACCGCCGCTGCTCTTCAGATGATCCACGCGAAGTTGAGGTCAAATTGTCCTCCCTCCTCGTCCCTCCTCCCTCGTCCCTCCCTTCTCCCTCCCTCTCTGCCTCCCTCCTCCTCCTCCCTCTCCTCCTCCTCCTCCTTCTCCTCCTCCTCCGCCGCCTCCCGCCTCCCCTTCCTCCACCTGATCCTCCCGCCTTCTCCTCCTCCTCCTCCTCCTCCTCCTCCCGCCTCCGCTTCCTCCACCTCATCCTCTTCCTCCCTCCCTCCTCCGCCGTCCTTCCCTTTCCTTCCACCCTCTGCCCCTGTCGAGGTTACGGCCCGCCGCCGCATGGCATGCCCCCGCCGCACGGCGGGCATGGGGGTGGGGCATGCAGGGAGGGAAGAGGCGGCTGAGGATGATGATGCAGATGATGTTGATGCTGATGCTGACGACGATGCTGATGCTGATGATTATGCTGATGCTGGTGAGGATGCTGATGATGCTGATGATGCTGATGATGCTGATGATGACGATGCTGATGCTGATGATGATTCTGCTGATGATGATGATGCTGGTGCTGGTGCTGATGATGCTGGTGCTAACGCTTATGATGACGCTGATGCCGATGATGATGCTGATGGTGATGATGCTGATGATGCTGCTGATGATAACGATGATGATGCTGATGACGATGGTACTGATGATGCTGATGATGATGACGATGCCGATGATGACGATGATGATGCTGATGATGACGATGATGATGCTGATGATGGTGATGATGATGTTGATGCTTATGCTGATGCGGCTGATGATGATGCTGCTGACGATGATGACGACGATGCTGATGCTGCTGGTGTTGCTGATGATGGTGTTGACGTTGCTGATGATGATGCTGATGACGATGACGACGACGACGATGATGATGATGATGATGATGATGATGATGATGATGATGATGATGATGATGATGATGATGATGCTGATGATGCTGATGATGTTGATGTTGATGATGATGATGATGATGATGATGATGATGATGATGATGATGATGATGATGCTGATGATGATGATGATGATGATGATGATGATGATGATGATGATGATGATGATGCTGGTACCCCGGCTGCGGACAGGGTCTCCCGCAGGACGCGCCGCATTTGCGCTGGCGACGCGGCCGCCCACGGCGCCGCCCCCACGGGTAGAGCCGCAAGCCACCGCCCCGCGCTGTGCGCTGGGCACGCGCCCTCGCCACATTCGGCGCAGGCGCATGCGCGCCACATTGTGCTACCGCGCGGTTTGTTTTTGCGCGTTGGAAGCCGAATGCCCATTGCGCGGTCGCTGCACACAACTACTGGTGTCTGTGCGGCGGGGAAGGCGTCCGCGCCGCCCCACACCAGGGGCATCCCTTCGCTGGGAACGCGCAGAAGAAAATGGTAACAGATCACGAAGAGCTCGCGCCAGCCCGCGCCTGTGTCTGCGCCAGCTGGCTCACGGGCCATGTGCTGGAGGATTGGCAACTGTATGAAACGCAGAGGCTGGCGTGGCATCGCGCACCGGCGCTCGATGGCCGCGCGGGCCCGTCTTTTCCGCGCGCCCTTTGAACGCGCTCGCATTCCACTGGAGCAGCGACGACACGGTGCACAGGTGCGAGCACACGTTGGCGAACGTGCCCGAGCCACGAAAACGCAAGCTGAACTGCAGGAGCCGCACCTCCGTGACGGGGAAGAAGCGGGCCTGACCTCCGAAAGCAAACGCACAAAATTCGTACCCGCGCCGCACCGCCGTCTTAATATCGGCCGCGGTGCGCGCCGTGCACGCGAGCGCGGCCTTGGCCCGCGCCTGTCTGCGCCAAAGTGCTTTGCTGTCAGGCGACACGAAAGAACGCTGCAGCGCGGCGATCGTCGCCTCCAGCCCGTCTGTGGGAGCCTCGATTGGTGCATTACTCGCGCGGTCGATCGCGGCCAGTACTGCCGTCAGCGACGGATGGGGCCGCGCGGGGCTGGCGCTAGAGGACGAATCGGACTTGCTGACGCTTCGTTCGCGCCGCGCACCTTGGCGCGCGCGCGCGCCGGCGAACGGCTGCTCTGCCTGCCCACGCTCACGATTGCACGCTGCGATGTCTTCTGTGTCAGCCTGATGCCACGAAGTTATCGGATGTGCCCGCCCGGCTGACAGGGCGTGAAAGCGAGTGGAGACGCACCGCCCAATCAAGTTGGAGTCAGTTCGCTACGGAGCAGGAGGAGGAGGAAATGGAGGAGGAGGAGGAGGACGAGGAAGAGGAGGGGGAGGAGGAGGAGGAGGATCAGGAGGAGCAGCAGGATTATTATTGGTCGCTGATGATGATGATGATGATGATGATGATGATGATGATGATGATGATGATGATGTGGTGGTGGGGTGGTGGTTGGTGGTGGTGGTGGTGGTGTGGTGATGATGATGATGATGATGATGATGATGATGCTGCTTGCTGCTGATGCTGATGAGATGATGATGATGATGATGATGATGATGATGATGGTGATGGTGATGGTGATGGTGATGGTGATGGATGATGATGATGATGATGATGCGATGATGATGATGATGATGATGATGATGATGGGAGGAGGAGGAGGAGGAGGAGGAGGAGGAGGAGGAGGAGGGGGCTCTGCCTGCAGCCGCTGGGGCACAGCGTGGCTCGCAGCCCAGACGCGGCGCCTGGTGCGCCGCGCGTGCCGCACCTCGGCTGCCGCTCGGCGCCGCCGCGGGCGCCGCCACGATGCAGCCGCGCCGCGGCGCCCTGCCGGGCGCCCCCCGCTGCGGAGGCCGCGGGCCGCCGAGCGGCCCCGCGGCGGCCCGCCAGCAGCCTGGCCGCGCCGTCGCCCTCGCTCGGCCGCCTCGCGGTCTCGCAGCCCCACGGCCTCGGCGCCGCCCGCGCCGCCGCCGTGGGGCCCGCAGTGCGCGCCGCCGCGGGCGCGGCGGCCACGGGCGCGGCCCCGCCGCGGGCGTGGCGCTGGCCGTCGGGCGGGCCGCGGGCGGCGGCCGCCCCGGCGCGGGGCGGCGGGGCCAGCGCCGCCCCGGGGCCGCCGCCGCCGCCGCGGGGCGCGGCGGGCGGGCCGCCGAGGGTGGTGCCGCGGGGATGTTCGGGGGGCGCCGGCCGACCTCCTCGCCTGGAGGGCCCAGTCTGCCAAACAGCACTGGGCTTTCCTCAAGCACTCCTGTGATGCTTGGTTCCTTCGCCTTGGGTGTGCACCTGCCACAGGGCCTCGCTTGCAACGAGAATCACGAGGTTGCTCTCTGCCCCCTGCTCGCTGCTTGATTCCAGTCTGCCTGCTTCTGAAATCGGCTACACGTGAGAGTAATCTTTCGCTGGAGTGGCCTGTGGTACGGGCCCAAGGGGGCCCCCCGATCGCTGAGCGCGAAGCGGTAGCAGCGGCTTGCGCGCCCGGGTTTGGCCACCCCGTGTCCCCCCTTAAGCCGCGCACCAAAGGTCACTCTTACCCAGGGTCACTCTTTCCCGACCCCTTCCCGGGGGTCAGCTTTCCATGCCGAGTCGTTTTGTTGTGGCGGTCCCTGGGGCCGGGCGAGGGCTCTCTAGATAGAGGCCGAGCGCGGCGGGAGGCTTCCGAGCTGGAGTGTTTTTCCCAACCATCCTGTGGTATTGGGTCTTCGTTTTGAAGAGACAGCGCCTCGCGTCCTCCTCCTCTCTTCCTCCTCCTCCTCCTCCTCCTCGTCCTCCTCCTCCTCCTCCTCCTCCCTCCTCCTTCTGTGGCCCCATCGGGAGCTCCACCGAAGGCCCCACTGGCAAAGTTCGCATGCGGTTCCACCCCCATTTCGGCGCACCCCTCGCACGGTTCGTGGCCCCATCGGGAGCTCCACCGAAGACGCTACCCACAACTGCGGCACCCACAGCTGCATGTGGTTGGGTCCGTCGCCATGCTAATCTTTCAGGCGTGGGAGGTCTCGGCGCGCCTCCGTGGCCAGGCCATGGCGTGGCCCTCGATCAGGGGGCCCAGGGTACGGTCGGACCGAGGCATACAGTGAACCCGCATAGTAAGGATGGGCAAGCTTCCCAAGTATACAGAAGGCTTGGGCGAGTAACTCAAGGATGCTCAGAGAACCTGGGGAGGGTTAAAACAAATCATCATCATCATCATCATCATCATCATCATCATCATCATCATCATCATCATCATCATCATCATCATCATCATCATCATCATCATCATCATCATCATCATCACCATTTCAATTGTACCCTTGCACCCTTGCCCCATTCGGCCCATCCATAGAGACTTTCGCGGGCCAACCGCGTTCGAGAATCGTTCGCATGGGCCTCCAGGGCCCTTGCATCCTTACGATACGGGTTGACTGTAAGATCGAGGCCGGTTCGGGAATAATGTACCCTGATGTTCTTCGTGCTTCTTGGATGTTCATGTGCCTCCTGGGGGAGGGTACCCTCGAAGGTTCTTCGGTTTGGTCGGCGGAGGGCCTCGTGCTTTTGAAGAATGTTCTCCTGTCCTAGGTTTGACCGTGGAGGGCCGAAGAGCCCCTCTCATTATATGAGCATGCCGAAAAGCGAAGCCCTCTAGTAGCAAGCGCACCCGAGGAAGGAATCGAACAGGGCAGGGCTGCTCAGTTTTCTGGAAGGGCGGTCTTCCGTCCCGGGTCCGGCCGTGGGAACAGGCAGGTTCGGTCGGTGGGCGACCCGCTGGCGTCCCCCGAGAGTGTGGCACGGGCTCGCGGCCCGCTTCCAGGCGGCGGCGCGCACGGGGGGGCGGCGCGGGGGGGGGCGGGCCTGAAAGCAGGCAGGGGGGGCGTTCTGGGAAACCCTCCCGCGTTCTAAGATGGTGATGGTGCTGATGATGACGTTGTTGCTGTTGATGACGATGCTGGTGATGTTAATGTTGTCGGCGATGACGATGATGTTGATGATCATGATGATGACGATACTGATCATGCTAATGATGACGATGATCGTGATTGTGATGGTGATCGTGCTGGTGATGATGATGATGATGATGATGATGATGATGACGATGATGATGATGATGATGATGATGATGATGTTGTTGTTGTTGTTGTTGTTGATGCTGAGGTTGACGTTATTGTGGATGTTGTTGCTGAAGTTGTGGTTGCTGCTGTTGTTAGCATTGTTGTTGTTGGTGATGATGCTGTTGATCATGAAACTGATTATCACGATCATGGTTGTGGTGGTGTTGTCGGTGATGCTGATTTTGATGCTCATGGTTACTATGCTGTTGATGTTTTTTATGTTGTTGTTGCTGTTGCCATGGTCGACAATGGTGATGACGATGCTGATGCTGATGCTGATGATGATGATGATGATGATGATGATGATGCTGATTCTGCTAATGCTGCTGATA